TATATGTATGCAGAAACCAATTAAATGATCTTATTGGATGTGATGATTACAGTAACTGCCACAGGAGTAATTAAGATTACATCCACAGCATTTATTGTCTTTAGGATATAAGAAAGCTAGTTCATACTGCTCCGATTTCATATTATAACATTGATTTAATATATCTTCGATATACCACTTGCATAGATATTTTAATTTGTCTATAGATGTCTACATTATTTTTTAATTATTAATTTGTAAAATATTTTAACATTAAAAATTTATTTTTCTATGAAGATTTACCTGCGCAAGAACTAATCCTCTAGTTGGCCTTGTATTCATTTGATGATTGTGGGAATCAAAAAATGTTACCTATAGAGAATAATTTTTATAATTACAGTACTGCAAATAGTGATTCTTACTATAGTGAAATCTTACAATATTAGTATTTTCTTGAAATATGAATAATACTGTACGGCCACATGTAATTAGAAACATGAATAAGTTATTGGATTTTGGAGATGCATACCATTTGTGTAAAAAGTTACTTATATTTTTATATAAGCCTCTCTCAATTCTTTCATGAAACACTTGAAAGGTCTGTAAAGCATAAAGAAGATTGTAAAATTATGTAAAATAAAATATCGGATGAGTGATAATATTATAGTATTCGTTATAAAAATATTTTGATCACTGTATTAAACTAGATAAAAATGTACATTAAACGTATACCCATTCTTTCATTATAATTAATTTATTGCCACCATGTCTTAATGCTTCCTCTATACTGAGATATGGGTGAGCAACTAATCCATTTTTAACAATCCGTGCATGAGTAGCATTACCTTCTATCATAGCCTTGGCTATGTAATTACTAATTTCAGGATTTGATTCTATATCACGTATGAAAAATCCTGCTTCAGATATTCGTTGTGCAACAAGAAGACAAATCAGGGTACATGCTTGACTGACTACACATTTCATTAATAAAAGATATTAGACATGAATAAATCAGGGGAGATAAATTTATTACTTTTTTGTCCTGGTGGATATCGACTTTGTGCAAAATCTTCATCATACCAGTATACAGTGACATTATTAACATATTCTTTTATAAACGAGGGGCTGTTAAAGTCAGATAGCGATGACGACAAGGACATAACTCCTTGTGCAACTTTTTAGTAAAAGTGTTCTATGGTACTTCTAAATTTTGTGTTCGAAAGCATTTTTTATGAAAAATTGGACATGATTAGGTTGCTTTTAAAAAATTTTTTGAAATTTGTTGCAACGCCGCCCCGTGGTATCATTTAACATTAAACAGCAGAAGAAAATATAAACATTATTTTGTCACAGCAGGTACATAAATATCTAGCAGTCAAATAAAATTAAGATTAAGAGAAACTTCTGTTAGCATATTTATTATTCATATAATTAGTCATTTCATAAAAACAGTACAATTCATTGTCAAGAAATAACCCAAGCTTTGTTTTCTAATAAAAGATCTATAGTAAACTGGAGTTCAACTAATCGTATTTCTTACAATTACTTTTCAGTTGCAAGGTTGCAACTGTAGTGATCCATATTTTATTGATTACGTAATTTGCTGTGGAAAACAAAAATTGCTATTGCTTCATAAGAATTGCTTCATTAAAAAATTTAAATGTGTACACTACTTATTCATTTTACCTTTATATGTATGCACGAGCGCATTTAGCGCTATTGCACGTAATATCAAACATGCTTTGCGTGTACTGTTTTTTGAACGACAGAAATCGAGAATACATTTTACATAAACTTTGCACCGATTTGAATTACGTGTGTAATTATAAATAACTGAAGTTAATAGAATAAAATATATTCTGCGGGTGTAAAGAAAATACATATATGTATACATATGTATATATATATATTTACATTTAATATATTGTAAAAATGGAAAAACCTAGATGAGTTTAGATGATAATCATCATATTAGTTGAGACGAATGCTTTCGAATAAAACAATGCTATTTAAAAAATTCGGTTTCTAAATTGATAACAGTTTCCGTGATACTCTGACATGTACTCTTTTCACACGATAGTCGTAAAAATGCAGTTTAAAAACAATTATACCTTTGACGAAGCGATTTTAACATTTTCATTTTGCAAATATATGTACACGCGTCGTTATACTCAGTGCTGATGAATATAAATTATTTCATGTTATTGCTCTTATAAGTTTGTTTCGGTCTTTTATGGTTTTTATAAGGCAAATGATATTGCAAGTATGAATATGATTTATTTCTTTTTAGTTTCAAGTTCAAAAGTTAAAATATTTGTCTAAAATCACTTTTTCTTCTTATTCTTGAGTATCAGTAAAATTGCATTCTCTTATATGTATAATACATTCGAATGACTTGACAGAAATGCCTCTGTCAATGCAGAGCTCCACTGGAAACTGTTTTACACAATTAGTCTCCTCTCATCAGGACATCAAATACTTCTTCATCTCTTCTCATCGTATCTAAAATACATTATTATATAGACACCCAAATACTGAGATTAGATCATGATATGTGCTTACCAGTGATCAAAATGATCTGTACGAAGTCGGATAACGTGACGGTATACTTGAGGTAATATGATTCGACAAATGTTCCCATCCCAGGTTTCTCGCAATTTCTATGCACTTTTCGTCGATTTCTTTCAATGGTTTTTCTTCGTAATAACGTGTCAGTAACTTTAAGTAGCGGCCATTATGATTATTGATATGAGCATGCCACAGTGAAAGCATAATGACCTATAACAAGAAACAGGTTATCTTCACTCAGGTACTTCCACATACTAATCGAGGCGAAATAATATTCTATTTCTTGCCTTGCTATCGGTTGGCTCGGCGAACTTTTGCACTTCTTGCCAATGATCTGTAACGCTCTCTAATAAATGTTCGTACGACGCACGATCTCCCTCTCCTTTTTTCACGTTGTGTACATATAATCGTGCCAGTGCACATCCTTTCTTCACTAACGCCTCTATTAAGCTGTTCTTCTGTTTCTCCATGGTCGTTTTGATTTTCGATGCATCGGCACGTGGGTCATTCTTCAGACCATAATATGCTAACAATTTATCCTGATCTATGTTGGTGATCACGGCGTCAGCAACGGATATTATTTGATTCGCAAGAGAAACAGCGCTTTCTGAAAGATCATCGTGTGGCACGTAACGCCGAGCCTCCGGGGAATCCAATGAAGTCAACATGGCAGTGTGAACGGGTAAATGATCCGAAAATAGATTCTTCAGTTCTCCATACAGTAAATTCGCGTATTCCCCAGGTTCTATCATTAAAAAATTTAGATTAGTCATATTTATCGAACTAAGAAGAAACAGATACATGGTAAACAATTGACAAAAATGAACTTAAAGGACGACAAAACATTGACACCATTCGATAATGAATAATTTATATCTGGATCATGGGAAAAAGTCCTTCCAGTATCATAGAGATCTATAATGAATATTGAATATAAGTCACAAGGAACAATTGTCAGTATGTACATGCATTGAAATAAAATAGTTGGTAATAATGCAATCGTCTAATTATTGAACTGTATAGGGATCTAAAACATAAACCGTGGAACAACCTTCTTTCAAGCTGTAACTTACTCGTGGATGGTGCTATTTGTAGAATTGAAACCGAAAAGAGAAACAAAAAATTTGTATGAACATAATAGTGCAATTGATAATATAAAATATTTCTCCATGAAGTATGAGAGCATGTAAATCTTATGAAATTCAGTGGATATTTTGATTACCAAGCTTTCCAAGCCAATTGCATTTTAAGTCTCTGAGTGCTTCATTGTATTCATCCCATTTAGTGGTCTTCTCCTTGTCTGTCTTATTTGTGGCATTGCTACTCTTCTTGGCTGGTTCAGATAAAATGTATTTGAAAGTGTGACAGTCCACTTTCTTTCCAATGTCGTCCTTACAGAATGTCAATGTACCCTGCAGGTAACTACCTAAAGTAGCACCCTTAGAAATTCTTTAAAAAGAAGTAAAAAGATGAGAATAAATTATTATTATGTTAGTTGCTATCAGATGTAGTAATTTTCATTTTTATGACGCGTTATGTAAAAAAGCCAGAAATAAGAAAACAAGAGTGACATAATGAAGCCGCCATTTGAGTTGGGAAATAAACGCACTACATTGAAAACATCAGGTAATTCAATACTGCAGGTGCTACAAAATGAACATATGTGCACTAAATGTTGTAAGCCAAGTATTATAGTTATTACATGTAGAAGAAACATTTTGTACTTCTATATTTGGACATTTACAGGTGACTTCTTTGCTTATAAACTTTATGTTATGTTATCAAAAGCATAATTTATAGAAAGCCAAAGGAAGACACTTCATTACATAAACTACATTTCATGCAATGACTTGTGCTTACTAAAACTTGATACAGAATGATTTGGAAATAGTAGTCTAGTGACATTTATCTATGTTCGAAATTGTATTGTATTTGCAGCTGGACAATATGGAACTCAGTTTATTTCATTGTAGATTAGTATTTCAAAGCATTATCTACTTTGACAAATTATTATCGTTTTTTACGAAATTCTACAAAGCATGTAAATGTGCAAAAATGTTTATAAAAATAATACTATAGACTCACTTGTTTTCAGTGCTGCAATGCGGGATAAAAAAAGAATGTTATCTTAGTAGCACTTTTAAAAGCGAATCATTTAAAATTGTTTAGACAAAGAACTGGTAAAAATAAGTTGTATACAACGCATTTAAGAGGAGCTAACATTCTTGAAATGCAAATAATAATATAATATATCGAGTGTGAACAACCTAACAGCTTTTAAACATTTACACATATATATCAAAACCATAGTTGTAAAATTACCCGTGCAGTTTTTTGCTTATACAAAAAGAAAATGCTAATGCATATACTACTACACTTACAAAAAATTGTAAAGTATCCTTATAAGTGTAAAGCATAAATTAATATCCCGTACTCTCTTGAATATAGTAAAAATATTTTGCATCACTAACTCAACTTAATTCATCAAATAAAAAAGTAATACAAAGTGAGAGAGAAGTTTTGACAAATGAAATACTTACTTGGTTTCATTCGTCATAGGAGCAATGTATAGGGGAAGAATATGACCCGGTGGTATTGAGGCTGCTACCATTTTTTTGCCTCCAATGATTGCTTGTGACTGACTGGCGTACACATCCAAAGTGATTGGATTGCTTAATTTCTGACTTAAGAGTAGCGGCATGTCTACTAATCTATCTAGTAAATCTTTTTTTTCGTGCCTCACGTGCATTTTTAAAGTGTAATCGCCCTTTTCTAACTTTTGTATAGTAAACTGTGAAAATGTACAAAGTTATAACTTCATTCTGCCAAGTTAGTTTACGAAGTAAATTTACCTTTGATGGATAAGCATCTCCACAAGATATTAGCTGTTTGTTGCTGTCATAAATCGTCCACATTTGACTCTCATATTCGCTTTCATACAATAAATCGCTGAGCAATGCTGCGTTCGGTGTTACTTCTGTTGCTTTTGCAGAATGGAACGTGTACGTTAATAATAATTCGTAAATTTGTCTCGATGGTGGAATAATATCTCGTTCTCGCAATGGAACGATCTTCGAATCAGTAGGTCTAACAAATTGAATAAAACAGAATGATTAAAATTGAATGGATAGCAAGCGCATAAAAAATTTTAGAGATACATACTTTAAGATTTGCACAGACGACTTAAGAGAAACACAAGGAACCACTTCTTCGTTTCTAAGCGAACTTCGTAGTTCTAAACGGTTTATTCCATCTCCAGATTGCATTGTAAGGTTTCCATTTATCATATGGATACCATGAAATTCTATAGAATAATCGATTACCATGTCACCTAAGTTTGCCCAATATTTAGCAATAACCACTTCTAGGATTAATCCTCCCTACATGACATGTGTAAGTTGAATTTAGTGTCATTATATGCGTTTGTTAAATTATACTATTACAGAAACACGCATTACCTGAACTGCAAATGGTTGAACTGTCTCTGATTGAGAAGTAACGCTAATCATTTTATTAATTTCCAAAGTCTTGCAAGCCAAACGAGGCTTCAACTGGACAGTCTGAACTGCGAATCTTCCAGTTTTATCCTTCTCTGTGCTCTTTAGTCTAATGACTGAATCGAAACGAATAAAATTATTAATATGTTATCTTTAACATCATATACAAATATATTGCTAGAGAAATTTACCTGCCCATGTCGCGTCTTCTGGGACAAGAATGAAGTGTCTGCGAATTGTGTTAGGTTTGAACAGAACATTTGAAAACGTCAAGTCTGGAAGAATAGCAGTTCTTGGCAGTACTTGTGGTTGCACTACGGTAATTGGTATTTGGAACACTGGTCCTTTTGCAATGTCTGTTACATCATAGGCTCTGACACTATAAAACGCAATTAGTATTAATGCATATGTATCAAATTATTTATTTTTTAATTAAGTACACATTACCTTGTTGTATGGACACCTTCTGGTAAATTCGAGGCATCAATTCTGACGGCAAATGCGCGTGACATGTGCATTAAATCAAGATGTGTTGGAAATTGAACCCAAGACGCATCACACACCAAAGTCAATTTCAAATTAAAAGCAATTTTTAGTGCTGGATCTAAATACATGAATGTGATGATAAATAAACCTAATCTATGCATACGACGTCAAAATAATAGATACTTAAAACTGTACCAGTATTTTCGGTATTCAGGAATATAGGTTCAACAGTAATAGCATAGTCTTTTGGTCGGTCAATGACGCCGATCCTCATATGAATTCCTTTGGAATTGTTTCCTCCACAACTAATAGAAAATCTGACATCTCTTTCGGGAACAGTGCTATAAGTAGTAAGAGTATCAAATGCTCGCTCAACTTGTAGTAGTCCTGAACCTTGTGCAAAGGGATCCAAGTTTGATACATAGAGAGCTGTATTTTCAAGAGCCCTCTTTATATTGTATGGAGAATAGGGGTAGTTTTTGGCAAGAAGTCCTGATATAAGTACAGCTACAATATGAAGATAGTTTTTATAAGTCATTTCTATACCCATAATACTTCTAAGCTATATTACTGTTAATGACAACTTAACATACCAATTGCTCCAGTTACATGCGGACTAGCCATACTTGTTCCATTCATGAGCTGACTTTTTCTTAATGTAAAGTTAGGAACGCTGGTTATAGCTCCCCCCGGAGCACACACGGTAACACCAGCTCCTCCATCAATCATTGGACCACGAGATGACCATGTGAACGGCATGCCTGGCATTTTCTCCCTTAAAGAATATTCAGCCACCATCATGTCAGGAGACACATAAGCACCAACACTGATTATACTGCTAGTACTGATATCCGGTGGAGTGCCTATAAGATTTAAAGATAAAGAATGTTCACAAAATTCGAGATATCGAGTGAATCTTATAAAGTTTCAACAACTGACCAATAGTACATAAAGCTGGTCCGAGATTACCAGCAGATGCTACCCATGTAACTCCATGTTTATCGATCACTTCATTCATTAATTCTCCTATTCTTCCTGTGTTTGACCAGTGTGCGTGCTCTCCGTAACTCATATTGATAATATGTATTTTTTCTTTATGCTTCATCACGTGTATCATTGCTCGCACCACCGAAGTTCCTGTTTCCATTGTCCCAATGCGACCATCTCCAACAGTCAGTGAAATAATTTGCGCACCTGGTGCAACACCATTCAAATCTGGATTATCAGGGAAGTACGCTGCCGCAATTGAAGCTACATGTGTGCCGTGGCTTGCTGTAACAAATAAATAAATTGAAGCTCTATGTTATTTTAATACGTCCGGCGGGAATAAGAAGAAAGACTATATGCTATTACAACTTACAACATAAACTAACAATCTCTAATGTGTTTCCATCATCATGAACATTAATACTAATATTTAACTGATCTTCTGGTATAAGTGGTGCAAATTCTCTTGTCAAAGTGTATTCTCCTAAGTACACACCATCTTCTAAGTTACCTTCTTCGGAAGTATCGATACACGCCCTATAATAGAAAATAAAAATGATTAAATATTATTAATGTCTATTGAATGTTTTGAACATCCATTCAAACATGAAAGCATCCATATATCTTTACCTCCAAACTTCACCATCATGGAAAAGAACACAGTCATAAGTGGGTCCTACATCAGAATATTTTTTTTCAATGTTATTTAGAACTTCAACACGTGCCTCAAGTTCTTCTTTTTTTAGTCTTTCCTCTAAAGTCGTTACTTGTGGATTATTTGCTTCGAATTCCTACATAAAATTATAGAACAAAAAATCATTAGTTCTAACTCAATTAAAAGCTATTTGTTCATATAATTTTAATTCGTACTATAATTAAATACGATTATATTGTGGAAATATTACGATGTGTAAGAAATTCCATTGTTCTAACATTTTGTATAAATCGAATTGTGAAATATTACAAAAATTTTAAAAGTTTAGGTGTTTTGTAAAAGAGCTATTATGTAATGAATCAATGGCTTTACAATAGATCAAACTGCCAAATATAAATATAGCATTAGATAGAGATCACTGTGACACATTGTGAAACTGGCCTCATTTGATTGAATGGTTAAGGTACCCACAACAACCCTATCTTTGGATCACATGGTCTACAATCCTAATTACAATGTCTCTCCCAAGTGTACCTTTGAACATATAGATCATTACAAACTATGTTTTGAATGTAAAGAAAATAATTAAAAATAATAAATAGAATTTAATATTAACTTTACTATTGATTTGTGTTTATGGTAAAGTGCTTTCATTAATATTACAGCAACAGAATTATTGCAATTATTTACTTGTAATTCTCTAGATGCTTCTGCAAGTGCAGTCTTTTGAGAACTATCCCATAGTCGTTTTTTCCGTTCTGATAACACTCTTTCTTTTAATTTCCCTGGATATAATGAATACAAGCTCTTTACTCCTATATGATATTCTCCACTGGGGTTTTTCCAATTACTTGGAACCTGAAAAAAAAAAATTTCTTAAGCAAATAGAAATGCATACTAATTAATTATGTGTTATCTATTGTTAATTTGATATGCTTCACTTAATTCAGACACCATTATTGTTTGAGACATACCTTCAATTTACGGCCAGTTATGCCAATTATATATCCATCGGGTGCTTGTGCAACTTTGCTGGTGTCTACATCTCCAGCTCCACTGCAGTCATACCTTTCAATAATTTTTGGTTTCCCATCTGTAGTTATCTATAAAAAATATATCTGTCATTTACTATAGCATATTATTAAATTCATGTTTGCTATATCTTTTTGATAAGTAAGGAAAAGTAGCAATGTCATTCTCCAAATATTATCATAATGGCAAATACCAATTTCCAGATACTTAAATGGAAGTATGAAGTGAGTAATACATTCCATTTTAGTATTTAATGATTGCATTAATTTATAATAAATTCACTGCAAACAATGAATTTTAACACGGTAGAAGTTATCTGGACAAACTAAGTGACACAAAGGAACGAATAATTCGCGGAACAGATACTTTTGGATTGTAATCAGAGTTATACGAAGTTTTGTATTTTATATACGAGATAAGTAAAAGTAATGTTGATAGTAAAATTATCGCAAATAATTAACAAATCCTTTCAGTGTTGTGTAATGTTGAAAAGACGTTATAATTTTTTTCAAATTTAAAAGGGTAAAAAACCAATGATTTGGACAATCGTGAGGCGTGTCTGGTAGAAGCCAACATACCTGCATACCAGGAGCCCCAGGATCAACTCCTGAATCGAAAATTGCGATAATGACTCCTCGACCGTCATATTCAGGATATTTGGTAAGAAATTGAGTGACACCCGTTTCTTTTTTGGGCAGAAGCCCCCAAACAGGAAAATTACAATCAATGACGTCGGCCATGTTTCAAATGCCACTGCCACCGCGACTCCAGAAAAACTATTTGAGATGTTTCCTTTGTACTGCCACAGCCTTATATATCAATCAAAAAACAGGATCTGCGCCTGCGTGCGTGTATACACTTCAAATTTTGAGGTTATCGGCTCACGATAGGTTAGGGCAAACTGACGTTAGCGCTAACTACACTAGAGGGGAAACCTTACGGTACATTCGAGAACCTATTTCCAGAACGCACGTGTCCGTCAGTAGATCCGTCATATATGTAAATATGTACAATAATTTTATTATTAATATAACGCACTGACTTTCAAATCTATACGTTAAGTTTTATTTCTTATATGTTATCTTTACTTATTTGCTGTTATCCATGAGACAGGAGTATCAAAGATTTTTACATAAGTTTCCTTTCTCGCATACTCCATGATATAAGGAACAAAGTCGGCAGGACGTTTTGCATGGCGTTGTTCAGATCGCAGCACCGGTTCACGTCAATAAACGAAAGACTGCATATGGTACATACGAAACGCGATGTATCATGTCAAGAGCTGCAATGTAATAGGTTATGTTTTTTAATTGTGCTCTCCAAAAAATGACACACTTGATACGGTTGACTGTTGGCTACCGCTTTCACCGCATAATGTCGTGTTGACAATCTGCAGTGTATGGACAGGAGGGATTAACGCAAGTTCCTTTACCCAAGACATGTGCAACGTTAAAGTATGGTTGTCACTCCACGAAAGATGAAACAGGTTGCCTTTTCCGTAATTTGTATAATAATAGGTAAGTGTCATAACATTCTGTTAACGGTCAGTTATGTATAAGCAGGAAACTTATTACGGTATTGCCAGAATTTTCTGTCATTTCTAAATACCATATTGTACAAACATTTTAGTGTTAGGACTCTACAAGACAGTAGTTTATCCACAAGAAGAACAATCTTTTCATAGAGTACATCCAAGAGAGCGTAAACATCACATAAGTGATGTAAATGACATAGAAACAGAAAATCAAAAGGTGCAAGACATTGAGGAGGATGCACCCCTTGCCGATATCAAAGACATTGAAGAAGCAAAGTCAAGGATTAGAGATTTGGAGGGTAAATTGCAGCATTTGGAGGCTAAAATTGAGAACAGTGTGTCCAAGGATTTTCCAACAGTCAAGTTCCTTAATTATAAAAACCGGAAGAGAATTTTGGTTACTGGTGGTGCCGGTTTTGTTGGCTCACACCTGGTTGACCGTTTAATGTTGGCTGGTCATGAAGTAATAGTTGTAGATAACTTTTTCACTGGAAGAAAACGCAATGTGGAACATTGGGTTGGCCATGAGAACTTTGAACTAGTTCACCATGACATTGTAAGACCTCTCTATCTAGAAGTAGATGAAATATACCATCTTGCCAGCCCAGCTAGTCCTCCACACTATATGCTTAATCCAGTGAAGACTATTAAAACAAATACTTTAGGCACAATAAATATATTAGGTGTGTAATATCCATCCAATAGGTATAGCCTGTTGAAACATAGAATAAAATTCGAATGCGTTTGACATAGGTCTTGCAAAACGAGTAGGAGCAAGAGTCTTAATAGCTAGTACGTCTGAAGTATACGGAGATCCTAATGAACATCCTCAGTCGGAAACTTACTGGGGCCATGTAAATCCTATAGGTATATAAAAATATTATTAAAAAATTTATATTTATACAACAGAAAATCATGGTTTTTCAGGTCCAAGAGCTTGTTATGACGAAGGTAAACGCGTGGCAGAGACACTAAGCTATGCTTACATGAGACAGGAAGGTGTTTCAGTGCGCGTGGCGCGAATCTTCAACACATTCGGGCCTAGGATGCACATGAACGATGGTCGCGTGGTTTCTAACTTCATCCTACAAGCATTGCAAAATGACTCGATTACGATATATGGTAGTGGAAAACAGACACGGTCTTTCCAGTATGTGTCCGATCTAGTTGACGGACTAGTAGCCTTGATGGCTTCTAACTATACCCAACCTGTGAATATTGGAAATCCTGTAGAACATACGATAGAAGGTGAATCAAGATTGCGATACGAAATATTTTTCGACTAGAATATCACGCTGACAACTGTTGTATTCAATTCTTTCAGAATTTGCACTTATAATTAAAGATTTAGTCGGTACGATTAGCAAAGTAGTCGAGCTTGCTGCGGTCGAGGATGATCCTCAACGGAGAAGACCAGACATAACAAGAGCCAAGAAGTATCTGAACTGGGAGCCCAAGGTTCCTCTAGCCGAAGGACTTAAAAAGACGATCATGTACTTCGCTAAAGAGCTGCAGAGAACGAAGCACTCGCAGAGAGCTAGTTTCATGCAAACGTCATACAAAAATGATCATGATATAGTAGAGCAACTGTAGAGACTAGAAAGTTAACACGATTAATTGATCCACTTCTAAGAGTGGCTTGAAAGTGCCATTATGCTATGGACCACTATGTGCCAAAATATTCCCCGTCCAAATTGAATTCCGTATAATTTTTTACATCGACGAGTACATGATCCTCATTTGTCAACGAATAACGAATTTTCGTCACGGCGTTCATGTCTCATACTTACGTTTCTTAATTTCACTTCAGCTTCGTTGAAACTACGTTCGTCAAGCTGTGTCCGTTTATAGAGTTCCGTTAATTACCGCGTACAGGTATATTTGCCTCGAATGGCCACGAATCGCTACTTATTTCGCGACGGAATGGAGAATAATAATCGTGTTTCCGACATTGTCAATCTTTTTCATAGAAATGTCTAGATCGCTAAACGCTCGCAACTCTTTGTTATAGGTCAGAAAAACTCGTACGATCGCTCGCCGGTGCTGGTGGAAGTTATTCATATCCTTTCTACTTTTCGCGAGTATCTAGGATAAGCTATTGCGAACATTTGATATATCGTGCTGTTTTTACTTAATGTTTCAATGTAGCCGATTTTCCTCGGGCTGTATGTACATGTTCATCGTGTTCTATCGAATTTCTTTAACGAACTCGTATAACATAGATATACGTAATCAATATGAACAAGTGCGGTTAGTCAATTTCTTATGGAGTGTTTTCGTCACCGCAGTTTTGTTAGAGACATAGAAACAGGAGGCGTACCTCGGCGTTTCCGTTCAACGAAACTGGAACCCCGAACCTATGTATTATAAAATAATACTCGTACTGTGTGATATGTATATGTCTACGTGTACACGGCACAAGTGTGCTGTACTGTAATATTTGAGAGCGTGTAAACAGGAAAGTAATTTTATACTTTATGAATAACTGTACGCGGGTAACGCGGAGTGAACAGCTTTGTCAAGACGTATTCTCGTCATCGTAGCAGTTCCATAGGGTTTAATTTATATACGAGTATTCCGGCAAGGGTGCTGTTTGCATCCACCATGTAGGATATACTATAAAATATAAAATCAATGTTTACACTGCAATGTTCATGAGAAACCAATGTTCCTACTTCCTTGCGCTTCGTGCAGTTCTAAGAAGAGCTGATATAGTCCTATCTTATTTCTAATATGCTGGAACGATTCACGAAGAGAAAATTAAACAAGAATCTAAACTAGTGGCTTCACATTTCAAGAAACAATTCGCGCATGAATCTCTCTTTAGCAAACGGCGTGGCCGTCTAAGAACGTAGGGGAGCAATTACTAGCGACAAATAGATCGTTGTACCAGTGACGACGAGTCACGGGGGAATCATAAGGGCGCACATTGTTGCATAACGGGCTGGTGATTCTTCTTGTCCGGTTGCAATCCAACTAGATAATATTATAATTCCGGCAAGCGTGACCACTTGCTGAAGACGCATTCCACGGCGAGATTGAAGAATCGGCCGGGCCGTTTAAAGCGTATTTGAAGGGCCGATTGGTCTAAATGGGTGTCGCGTGGGCCCTGACAGGGCGCACGTGGTCGTCCTGTCTCCGCAGAAAGAGAACGAATCATCGGCGTACCGGTAAAGAGAACAAAGACCAAGAGAGAGGGAGAGAGAAGAAAACCGGCAGATTGGCAGGAGTAAGGGGACGGTAAGACCCGCTCGGATTCTTAACCATAATCATCGCATCCGGGATATGCTGCGGCTTTGTCGTGGCGGATGGAAACGCCGCCGCCAGGGTGAAGATGACCTAATCGTTGGTCCAGCAGCGAAGGAAATAAGCTCCTCCGCCACGACCAGTTCGCACAATGACCGTTTACGGTTCGTTTTAATCGAGCCACGGTTTAATTTCCCGCGGGTGTAAATAACCGGGTCGGAGGTGATTGGTCGGGAGCGGTTAGGGGTGCGTGAAGAGCGTTTTGTTTGATGCGGCTGGAAGAGCTCGTTAAAGATGCACCGGCTCTAATCGAGGAACTTGAACGACTTCCTGTCTGGAGAGAGTTCGGAGGAGGAACAGGTGACCCAATTCACCGTGAACCGGCTGTGTCCGTCGGTGGTCCACCGGTAATCCGATCTATCATCGGTAAACGAGACGGGGATTGCTCGTCTAACGTGGCCACGGTGTGGACAACCAGCCACTTTCTTACCTGCGACCACCATGGGAAAAGGGGTGCCAGCTTAATCGAGAAGGGCGAGATCGATGAAAGTTCACGCGATGATACGGTACTCGTTTCTCCGGCGAGAAACTGTGCCTGGACAGGAAAAAGCGAGCACCAACGATTGTATAACATGTCGTGCCCAACGTGAACTGCCCCCGGACGCAATAACGACCACGCCGGACCACGTTCCCACGAGATCCCGCTTTTATCATAGCCCGTAAAGACACAAGAATGTTGGTCGCTAAAAGGTGGTACGCAAGATAACGTTTGAGAATGTCAGATAGGCGAATGTGTGTCGAGCAGTCTGCGACCCCTCTCGAAACCGTAACACACTGCAGCCAAGAAGCTCGCTGCCTCATGCATTATGCAGCCACAAACTAGAGATGAACGGCTGCAGGTAACGGAGATGCTGAACTCGCGATGTAAATTCCGCGCGGAAACGTCCGATCGGCTGTCCCGCCGAATTTTTCGTTTTCATAAATAATTTAGAATCGCGCGCTGCCGGAGGGTATCTCGCGTCTACATCAAGCGCTCTTTAAATGAGAAAAGAATATTTTTGTACGACCCTACTACACACGCGTGCATCGGTATAATTTACCAAACCAGGTCCCGCTCGAACGTGAACCATGGTTTGGTTTCTTTTAATTAAGGTATTTTAGAAACTTTGTTTTTCTCATCGCGTTACAACTTCTAGTGTTATTCTCGCCCCTTAAACGCCACGCTGTACCGATGGACTGCAGATTTTGCGGTGTTTAATATACATATATTATTTATTATGTATGCCTGCAATATACACGTGGGACTCCCGCCATCACAAAGTCTCATCTACTTCTCGTACTTATATTGTATTAATTATATTATACTAATTTCAATATTGACACTAAATATATATAAATATTCACATATTATCAGTAATGTCTCCCTTACTGACGCTCAGATTGTCCACTAAAATGGATAATTTGGGAAGAAGAGATACGATTATTCGAACCTTGCGGCTCGTTTTTATAATTGTGGACAATTTATAACTATAAAAATAAACCGCAAGGCTCGAATAATCGTATCTCCTCTTCCCAAATTGTCCATTTTTGTGGTCAATCTGGGCGTCAATTAGAGAGACATTACTGTACTTTTATTTCAAAAGTTCACGTGTGTACTGCTAGGTTAAAAATACTGTTGCATTGCTTTCGATCTATGAAACTATTAACTCCTTGCCTTATATTTAAATTACAAGATAACGAAAGATAGTAGATTTGCATTTAACAAATAGACGATTTTTATTTTACAGCAAGATCTGCGGTTTAAACAACCTCGCAAGCTTTTCCGGAATCAACGTCAATCAATCGGGAGCAAGCCTGAAAATTGATTGGAGATTCGGAGGCACAGTTGAGAAGAATTGCTCGCGGAAGGGTTGAAATTGATTAGCTCAAAGGAAAGGCACGGAACGCCGATAGAACAGTGGGTCCGTGCATCGTCGTTACACGCCGTCGGGCTGCATTTACGCATGATCTACGAGTCCCTAATTATGCCCACGGGGGTTGTCGGCGGAATACACGCGGACGCAAGACGGACTAAAGCATTCGCGCGAGCGTGTCCAGCTGACAGCTCGCCGGTTTAACCAGAACGTAATAATCGTGAAGCAGGCAGAAAACATTTTTGCTCGTCAGCGGACGCAGTCGCGGGATTAGCATGCAAATACGCGTGCCCGCACCCCGTAACCCATTACAGCCCCGTAACTTCTTATTTCCCTGCCGCGCCGCGCCGTCTTTTCTTCGCTCGAGAGCACGGCCATAAACGTTATTAAATTAGAATGTTCAGGCCCGTTCGTCTGGTTTTCGCGAGGCAACACGCAATTAGACGGCAACATAGTGTCAATCGGAAATATATATTTAATCCTCCGCGAAAATTTTAATCTCCCGATCCTGTCGGAACTTTTATTCGGACAAATCTCTCAAGAATTTACCTGAGATAAGTTACGCAAGTAAATCAACTTATCTTCTTTTATTTTTTTAAGCTAATGCAAGCTTGATGCAGAGCGCGAGCATAAATTCCAAATAAAATTCGGCCTTCCGCGATCACGCTTGGTTTATACTGCAGCAAAAAGGATGGTAGAATATCGGTGAAAATTTTTGCGTAGGCTCCACGATATGCACGCAAACTGTAACGAACTATAAATTAATTTGCTTGCAACGCCGACCGAGAATAATTTCTGAAGGTGCGCCTGCTTTCTGGTTGTTACAGAGCTTCCTCCGTTAATCTGTAATTAAGACTACAGCATTAGGGTGAAAGTCGGCTTTCCTCGGCGCGCTTCCAAGCCGAAATCCTCGGCCGGGAGTGCAACCGAGAACATTAAACGTCGCGGGGAAGCGTATTTCACGCGTAGCAGCGTGGCTCTTGTACTTTTCTCGCGTGGCCCCGTCTGGTAGAGGAGAGCCTGCCGGGCAGGTTCTACGAAGCTCGTAAACATTTCACCTGAACCGTTCCGCCGCCCACTCGAGGCAGTCTCCGTAATATCGCAAATATTCTGGCGCCATCGACTCCGCGCCTCGGTGTCTAAATAAATAGCCGATCGCGTTCGACGAGCATTTACTTATGCATGCGTCGGGACGGAGCCGAGAGGAGCCGGGAACAAACGTGGCAAAGCTCGCGCGTCCGCGCCAAAACAAGTGGCCACCGTGGTTCTTCAGGAAGCCGGCTACGATTTGTTTCTCGCGAGTGGACGCGACGAAGGACTGTTGATCGAAGGGCCGCGGCACGGCGAGGACTCCGAGTGAAGCGGAGCCGCGAGTGAAGCGCAGAGTCAACTCGACGAAAGCTGCTGAACGATTGTAATTGCTCGACGACTCGGATTCTAAGATGTTGATCTTGGCGCGATCGGTAGACTTCGCCACTTGACTGGCTGTCGAGGCTCTCGGCGGAGATATTTCACCGATTTTTTCCGCACCACCGGCACACCGCCTTTGCAGGACAAGATCCAATATGCCGTAAACATTATAAAAACTCGAGGCGATAAGAAGATCCAGACTCTCGGGCGTCTGCTCGTCAATCTTTATCTACTTGAAAAAAGAGCAGCGGGGACTCGATGAAGGACATTCGCCTGGTCCCACGAGGTCCGAGCATGCAACCTACTACATATTTGCCTCGGTCTACCGGCAGCTGTTGGCGCGAGCAACGCCAGAACGCGGGGGTAAATCATCCCTAAAAGGCGATAAGGTTGCACGGCCACTCTCGGGCCGGTCGGAGCTCGCCTTATCGGCCAGCCGGCCAGTTTAAGCTACCCTCGTGAAAGCCTGTTCAGACTTTCCCCTAGAAATCGGCAGGAGGGACGCGTCGACGCCGCGGGTCACAAAACGATATACGTTCGATAATAAGTCCCCAGTCCAGTCGCGGCTACACGGGTCTGGCACAGGTGCCGGTTTACACCGCCGCGCGGTAAGTAAACGACGGGGTGAACGTAGTAAAGGCGCATTAGCACCCGACCAATAAACGACCGGTACTGTTAGGTCGGCTCCTCGGACCTGTGCGTACTGTATACACGCACGCGTGAAATTTACCGAGTCTGTCGTCCTCGATCGGTCAGCTACGCCGCGAGTCGTCGAGAGCTTTACGACCCCCTAAGCTAGCAGGAGACGTCAACGGTGGCGATGGTCTGTGACATCGATGCTTGTTTATGAATTTCTTCGTCCCTTTTTGTTTGGAGGAAGGAGGCTGTGCCGGTGCCTGGCAGGACGATTAATAATAGACGGTTTGTTTCGAAATTCGTGGCGAAGAACTACGTCGACGTCGCAGTCTGCAGGCTTCCGGCCTCGTGTGAACGACCCCCGTGGCTCACGCGAAATGTAAATATTGACACGCGAGCGCAGCTGTCAGCGAAGGGGAGTATTCACCTTTTTCAGGTAATGGATCCTCGATGCTTCGGAGGCTCTTCGCACTTCCGAACGCTTTCCTGCGAAACCGTCCATCGCTTCGAGGAATTCTGGATTCTATGATGCTCGGTGCTACCCTATTTGGATGCGGTGAGATTGGATCTGTTTCGTGGATTATCGCTGTGGGGACTATGGCGCTCGGCTGTTCAGTGCGAGTAAGTGTACCAAGCTGCATTCGTGCACAATACCGATCATAATTCTTTCAATACCGATTTTATATTTTACTTTATTTCTGAGAGGAAGGTATGAACGTTTCATAATGTTATTAGCGGAAGTGACAGACATTATAAGAATACATAACACTTATTTTCTTCTACGGAGACAAGGACAACGATAATGTTAAAAATTACAGAAATGTTTTTAATCGATTATTTTTAAGCTTTGGTACTCGGATAACAAAAATTTGGAGTTGCTTCTGCGAACGAAAGAAACAGAGCTACGGACATATCGAAAATATTAAATGGTGAAGTGTCATTCGTATCATTCAATTTTTTCACAATTAAACACTTAAAACTGGACACCTGCACATGTGTATGATACTCGATGCTATTCATACAGTATAAAGAAAATATTCAGATGCTTCAGCAAAAGTGGAATCTCTTGCCTAGCTTTTTAACCGTTTGAGTCCCAAGCAGCGCGATCGCACTGTTCAGATTTTGTGTCGCGGATCAAACTTTAGTGACGCACGTACATCGCACAGCTGCTTTTTCATTTTTGTTTCTTTTCGTTTTGTTTATTAATCTTGAAGAGCGCTATCGCGCCGCTTGATTCTCTTCGCAATTAATTAAGACAAGCGCTATCACGCCGTTCGGCACTTTTCGATCGTGTGCCACTAGTCCCAAAAATCGTATCAAATTTTATAGAACTTAGGACATTTTTTAAAAATTTGTACAACCGCACAAAATTCTCAGATCTACTAAGCCCAGCTCCTACGGCAATTATCAAACGTTCTCTTCCATTTTTCAGCCCCCGGCGCACCAAAGTCCGTGTCCTTGAAAGAGAAGGTCCCTCTTTTCGGTCAGGTGAAAGACGTCGACCGATTAAAAAAAAACGCGGATACGAAAGGTCGCGACTCAGGGGATCAAGAATCCCGCGGAAACATGTAATTAGCTGCATGGTAGCAGGCGTAAAAGCGGTTTCCCGAGGCGGGAGAGGTGCGCGTGCAGCAAATAGACCGGCCACCGCACCGGTCCCAATAGGGTGAAACGTGATTTTTCTGCGGCGTGCCCCTACCACGGTCCGATCGGGACGCAGAAAAGATGCACTTGGCGCGGCGTGCAGCCACGGCAGGCCACAGCAAGGAAGGCAGGCAGGCAGGCGACGTAGTTTTCTGGCGCTGGCAGGCGAGAGCAGCTGTTTCCAGGCTGGAGTAGCGCGGGCTGGAAGTTCAGTCTCGTTGCGACCGTCGGCGAGGTCGTGTCGCAGCCAGCCGTTTTTGCGGCCGCGCTCAGAGCCTTCCCGCCACGTGCACTCTCCGCTCTACTCTCTCTCTCTCTTTCTCTCTCTCTTTTTCTTTCTTTTCGCCTCTCTTTCTTTCCCGCCGCTTCTCGCATCCTCCGTTCGTGGACCACGTCTCGGAACCGGCTCCCGGCTACGCTTCCATCCGCGGAGGAACCCACGGCCCCGGTGTTCTCCCGGTTTTCGTGGGCGGTGAGGGGAGCTCCTCTTCCGGAAGAAACGACCCGCGGCTTCAGCATCATCCAGACGCCACTGTGAGTACGAAACCTCTTTGTTCCGCGCGGACCACCTTGAATTTGCCGAACTTCGCGCGTTGCCGATCGGCACCCCGATCCTGAAACCGATCGCAGCCCCCTCAGAACAGAATTCTAAACGTCGTTTTACTCGGTTCGAATTGTAAGAACGCGAGGATTCGAGTCATCAGCCGCGTACGCCGGCTTTGACACGAAATCGCCGGTCGTAAATGTGCTGAAGTTCAGTGGCCGCACCGGCGAGGACGTCGATAGTCTTCAACGCGAAAATACGTCACTGATAACAGGTGGAAGTTTCGATTTGACGCGATAATACGTCGTCGACGACCAGTGAGGGCTTTCGATTTGACGGGAAAATGCGTCGTCGGAAAGCAAGTGATAGTTTTTAATTCGATATTTTCGCGATATTTTCGCAGTTTCGTTCGACTAGGTCTGCGCACACGATTCCTTGTATGTATTTCGGCCGTATTGACTTCACTAGACATTTGCGATCATAATGCACGAGAAAATATTCCTAGGGTATACTAGCATCGCTTTGAAATCGTGATGTCGAGTCATATTTGACGTAGAGTGCAAATGATACGGGTAAACGAACCCGTGGATCTGAACCGATGGATCTTTTGGTGCGCAAACTGAATCGAACGTTAGGCAAACGGAGTTCTCCAGCAATTATCGAAACGGACACTCTTTGGACGCAGTCCGATTCTTTTTGCCGTGGTGCATTGAACGTTCGATTTTTCGAGCAATAGATGAAGTGGTAATAAATGCAGTTTTCGTTGTAAATGCAATTTTGCCGATACTAAGGTCGCTGCCCCATCCCGGAAGACGACTACAAACCGAAGGAATTTTAAATCAAAGTTTATCATTATATGTATATATAAGTATAATATATATGTATATAAATTTATATTTATTTATAATTATTTAACCCTTTGCACTCGAGTGGTGACTCTGAAGCACCACTAAAATTGTTGTATCACGTTCCAAGATAATTTTTATATTAACAAAGTTTAAATTTTAAAAAATTGTTAAAAGTGTAACTGTTGTTACGAGTCACCACAAGACTCAATTTCATGCGCATGAAATGCACTTTGCCATACAAAATGGAAATACTGTAAGTCAGAAAAATTGGTTTAGATTTACAGTTAAAATGGCTTCGAGTGCAAAGGGTTAAAATACGTAACAAAAGAGTGGAAATTTTTCTCACAAATTCCACAGACTCGCCTTCGTCTAATGAAGAATCAAGCAATTTTCGAGTGGCGCTTCTCATTGACTGCGGTTCGGTTTATTTTCTAGGTAATCTCTGCGAAACAGATGCCGGTATCGCTATTTAATTCCTCGCGGCGCAAACAAAAGCATTCTTCCGATATCGACCAGGTCAGTGTTTGAACGATCCCGCTGTCATCGGCCCGACTGGTTCTCGTCCGCGTATTCAGCGTTACGTAAAGTTTACATCGTAAATCACGCGGGAGTTCGTTGTTCACGGTGTCGGCACGCACGCCTCCGCGAATTTCGGACAATTCGATCCGCGTTTTCGCGCCGGAAACGGAGCGGACCCTTTCCTGCGTGTGGGCGCTGGGTCCTGCGGATCGGCCGGTCACTTCGGGGAATCGCAAAAAAAACGGTAAATGCATGTGTCGCTCGGGATATGTGCAAGTCGGCCTCTTGGGACCGAGTCGGGCCCGCCAGAGACGACCGACTTTCGAATATTTTGCGGAGCGAGCGTTTTATTTCGCGCCGACCCGCACCGCACACGGGAATTTCGGGAATATTTTTGCGGCCGGCTCGTCTGCGATCCGTTCTGATCATTTTACTCGGACGTTTAATCGAGCTCGCTGTCGGATTCTTGTTTCCAAATCAGGTCCGTTCGATGATTCTCGAATTTCAGATGTTTTTGGAGCCCTTTATAGAGTACTTTGGAATGCAAGAAACGGCAGCTCTTAGGATTCATTAATCTTTCGAAGTCCACCGTCCACGTATAAAGATAGGACTTGCTCATTCTAAATCTGGTGTTGACAGTCTTTCATTAAATCTTCTGTGAACTATGGTAATTCTCCGTCGCTTCTAAGTATAAAATCGCAAGGATTTTATTCCTCTATTTTCACTGATCTCGCAAATTCAAATGGGCCGAAAGTCTTCAATTATGAAGTACAGTTACCCAATCGAATCGCTGCTGCTTGCTAAGAATGCCACAGAAAATTCTTCGCGAATATTTCAGTATAGTTTACTAGATGTTCAGATACATCTCTCGTCTTTCACTGTCTCCGATTTCCAATCTTTACAGGAACATCAGTAAATAGAAAATTAATTAATTTTCATTATATTATAATATTTATCGATCAGGGTTATTGGCAAACGTAAATCACCGTGATTCGAATCATCTCCGCGAACACGTCCCTGCGGATGAATTTCCACGTCCATCGATGAAATTGCGCTATTCTTTCGAACTATTTTCGCGGCCGAGCCAGCCACTTTGTGCCGGTGCCGGAAGGCTGGGTTCCAGCTTTACGATCCTCCAACAGGGTTCTAAAAAAGCTTCTGTTCCGTGTATTCAAAATAGTCCTGCGGTACAATAAAAGCGTTGCCGGGCGGTGCTCGCGGCTGACTAGACGTTCGCGCAACACCACCGCTGCATTGTTCCATAGAAATCTTGTTCCGAGTCAGCACTGCCAAATTGGTTGAAACGTCGGGTCGGACGATTTATTTGAAAAATTGTCAAGCCGCTAAAAAGGATTAAAAATAGAACGATACGATCGATTTTCCGGACGTTGCTCGGTGGAAATGATTCATGGGTTGGCGTTCGCCACGGATACGCTAACTTTTTAATCAGCTTTTAGGAGATTGTAGTGAGCTGTTGTGGAACCAATCGCCAACAATTTACACGATTTTGTGCTTTCGCGTATGTACTGTTCAGTACTTTGCTCCGTTTCGTTTCATTATGAGATGGTAGCATAATTTCTGTTTGTCACTTGATCCAAGATGGTTTAACTATGACGATCTTCCCAATTCTCATTTAGCAACCAGTATCATTCTCGCAAAGCTTTCATGATTAGTTAGCGAAAAGGACGGAAATGTGAAACCACTGCTTCAAATTGCTGCAAATTTAGCGAAAATTTCTTCAACGTTTAGTTCGACCGACGTGTACATTTGTTAACGTCAATAACGATATGATTGACATATTCGCAGGCAATGTTACTAGGTTTAAGAAAAGTCTTCAACACAGGTTTTGCTTTATTTTCGTTATTGTGAAACCACGCGTTTACCAGCGTATATAAACCGAATAAAAATTAAATGAAATTGAAACAATTTGATCAAAATCGAACATAGATTTAATACCTTCTTCATCATTTTAAAATCATAGGCATCTACGTATGCAAGTTTTTCAAATTACAACGGTCTCTGCGATTTTTGCGTTTATCAGCCAGTGGTCAAGGAATTTCCAGAACGCTTCGCGGTCTGTTAACCGCGAACAGCAAAAATTTCCGCGACCGATCATTCATAACTCATTAGCAACATTGCCTCGTGTTTACATTAACCAAGAATTTCCCGCTGCCCCCACTGCACGGCCGTACAAACGATTACATGCGCGCGTTGCGAGACCGGCAATAAAGCCGAAAGGTCGATCGCGGAGGAATTCGTGCGGCGGTCGGTTTCCAGACACCTGCGTATCGATCCCTGGAGGCTCGATCCTATGATCAACGACTCATTGTGCTCGTTCGCGCCGAGCACGAGAACGATCGTTCCCCGGTCCCTCCTTCGTAGCTCGCGGGCCGTTTGCGGACGTTGCAGTAACCGGAGATACGCGCCGGGGTAATCATTTCACCGGTGATACGTGTCACCTGATAAATTAATCCTCCTCCTCGCGCCGCGGAATTATTCTCGTCCCTTGATTCGGCAACGTGTGCCGTCGCAGCACGAACTCGCTGTCTAGACTGCCCCTCCTTGCTCCTATCGGCAAGAATGTTTATTTCCTCGCTCTTGACTCGAACCGGCTTAAAATAGAGGCTACTTTGAAAGAACGCCGCGCGGTTCAAAAGCGGAAATAAATTCTGTTCCGCGCTGTTTCTTTGGCAAAATGCTTCCAGGGCTCTATCACCCCGCGCCACCAGACGCGCCTAAATGCTCCACCGAGTGGAATGACGATTGCGCGATGCTGCGGGGTTGCTGCCGGCAGCCTTTTCACGCGGACAGTTATCGAATTTTTATATAATTATCAGTGCCCGGCGCGAATGCTCGACAAAAGGGAACGTCTCTTCTCGCGGGTGCTTCGGATACGCCATTCAACGAATTCAATGGCGCGCCTCGCAGCTAGAGTCTCTGTTTAAAAATTGAAGCTCGTTTTCCGGAGCTCCTTAGATTCTTTCGGTCATCGAATCGATCCGGCGGACCATCCTCGAGTGCTTCCGTTTTATAATCTCTGGAAGACTCTTCTCCTTCCCACGGAATCGGGGGATGTTGCTCGCTGGATTTCTACCGAGACCGTCGCGATCGGTGCTAACATTTACCACATGTTTCCTGTAATCCGATGCTACCGGTCCACTGTACTTTAATTCTCTGATTCACAGTTTCGTTTTAGCCGCGGTTATTGACGAGCAATTGGACACAAGTATTTACTGTATGGGTGCATTTTAAATGCTAAGATTTCGTTCGACACACATAGTCGGCAGAAAAAGCCTGCGAACGCCTTTTAAAGCGACATAACTGTTTCCAGATTGGACCAAACGAATCGAACCTCGTCGAATTGTTCGAAGATCCAGCTCACTAATTTACATTTTATCATTCCAACCAACTGCAATTTATGCAGAAATCTTTTTTAAGTATTGTCCTGTAAACCAGTTTTCTGTAATTGAAACAAAACTCGTCTCGTCCTCGACCGTATTCTAAAAATTGATACCATTTTAAAAGCTGCGCGCCGACATTTTCCAGCGAGCATAAGCCTTTGAAACTGAGACCACTTGCAGCATAATTTCCTCAAAAGCATGCTTCGTCCAACGAAAACCAGT